CGAGCCCAACGACACCTGGGTCTTCTACACCCAGACCCCGCCATCCTGGATCTCACGGTGGTTGGCCCCCGCCGCCTCGTCCCAGCGCGAGTTGTCCCCCGAACCCGGCTGGATGGTGGATGAAGTATTGTTGGAGTGGTCGCCTCCATCTTCACGCTGCCAAGAGAACTTGCTACGGTCGCCCCTGCGGCCATTGTCGTGGCCGCCCTGGCGCCCTCATCCGCGATCCGAACGGCCACCGCCGCCACCCCCGCGCCTCTCTCCATGGAAACCGCGCCCTGTATCGCTCGCCATGGGCGGAGTGGCCGCAACAGCCGCAAACGAACGGGGATCGCCCCTAACCTTGCCCTCCCACCACTCAAAAGTCTCTGGAGCTCTGGATCTAGGGTTCTTAGCCGCCGCCCAAAAGTGGGAGAAGGATACCTCTAGGTCAAGGATCGGGTGGGGAGGGGAATTTATACCAGCGCTGTCGCCCCGCGGGGTGGGGTGGATCGCCCACACGTGTCGCGCATCCTCCATTGATGGGTGGTCGGTGGGGTTTGGGTTCGCCCCGGTTTGACTCGGCCCGGTCGCGTGTGGATCCGCGCGTCTCCCGTGTACCGTAGCACCGCGTCCCATGCCGTCCAGCACGCGCGCCGTCCTGGTGGTCGTCACCGGTAGCCGATCTCGCACATTGGCAAAGTGGCAAGGGAAGGAGACCATGTCACCGACATCGATCTCTTCTCCCTCTCGAAGGAAGCGCGCGTCGATCGTGATTTCGTGCGAGTCCGTGAGGACAGGGCGGAGAGCATCGCGCCATAGCGTAAGAGCGCCGTCGTTGAACGAGATCATGCGGGCTAGGAGCTCGGCGGCATACAAGACTCGCCATCTCGTGTCTGGTGCGCCGCCATTTCCGCCGCTAGCTCGTGCTCACCATCTCTTTTCAGGAATGAGCTCACGAGCCAATACCCAAAGAACAACACACGCCAGAAAGAGGACTTTAGTACACGATTCATCATCGGTCATCACAGTGAAACAATGTACAGAAGACCCCGTCAACAGCAGGTAAGAGCAACTCCAATGGGGTGACCCATTTCGTCCGCCACCGTCCGTTTGGGTCGGCATGGACACAAAAGTCGGCCCAACGCGCCGACCCAAACAGACGCGCGTCCGCTTCGAGCGACCCATTCCCGACCCATTTTTTAGCCGGAATTGCATCGGCGCGGACACGGGACGGACGCACGCGCGCTCGCCCTCTCCCCTCCCCGGGCCCGCTGGTCGGTGGCACATTGGCCTCCCCTCTCCCCCAACCAACAGCAACCCTTGCCCGCCTCCTTTGTCGCCGACGTCGCCGCCCATTTTTTGCCGATGACTCTGTCAGCTGCCGCCGCCTCCACATCCGCCCAGCAACACCGCCCACTCCCCCCGTCGCCCACCATCGTTGTTTTGCCGCCGGGGGAGCAAACTGCTTCCCACTACCGCTCCTCCCACCGCACAGCCGCCCGCGACCAAGAAGCCACCTCGCCGCACCGGTCAGATCCGACCGGCACGCTTGTCGGACGTCGGCCCACTCGTTGGACGCCGGCAGGGCAGCTAGCTGGTCCGTGCGCTCCACGACTCCTCTTGCTGGTCGTCTCCTTCTTCGACGCCCACAAGTTGTTCGACAGTTTGCCAAGGTACGAAATGGACTCCACCGATGAGTTCTTCCATAATTTCCTTTGCGACTCCGATGATTCGCCGTCCGGCGACAAGGAGGAGATATTGGTTGTTGTGTTGGTCCATCACCACCTAAACAGTCAGTGCCCGTTGTTCCATGGCTCCATTCCGGCCACCTTCCGACATTGAATCGCAACCGAGAGAGTGGGCATTTCCTTCTCTGGAAGGACTACTTTGATACAACAAACCCGTTGTTCAAACATCATAAATTCCGCCGCCGTTTTCGTATGAGTAGGCATGTTTTCAACCTTATTAGAGAGGGAGTGGTCGGCTATGATGGCTATTTCGAGTGCAAAGAGGATATCGTCGGCAAGATTGGTTTCTCCTCTGATCAGAAATGCACTGCCGCCATCCGAATGCTTGCATACTGAGTGCCCGGTGATCTCATTGACGAGTACGTCCGTATGAGCGAGTCTACATGCCTAGAGTCCCTGTATAAGTTCTGCAAGGCTGTTATTGTTGTGTTTGGCTCTGAGTACTTGAGAGAGCCGACAACTAAAGATACAACTCGTTTGTTGGCGATGAATGCCAGAAGGGGCTTCCCAGGGATGCTTGGCAGCATAGACTGCATGCACTGGGAGTGGAAGAATTGTCCTTCTGCTTGGCAAGGACAGTATAAGGGACATGTCAGGGCTTGCACTGTCATACTAGAGGTTGTGGCGTCTCAAGATCTCTAGATCTGGCACTCTTTCTTTGGCATGGCTGGATCACACAATGATATCAACATGCTTCAGCGCTCGCCGGTGTTTGCTAGGCTTGCCGAAGGCAACAGCCCACCAGTGAACTTTACTGTCAACTGACACAACTACGACAAATGATACTACCTGGGTGACGGTATCTATCCTCAGTGGACCACTATTGTCAAGACAATACCCAACCCTGTCGGAGAGAAGAGGAAAAGATTTGCCTAAGAGCAAGAGAGTGCTAGGAAGGATGTCGAGCATGCCTTTGGTGTTTTGCAATCTCGATGAAGCATCGTTCGGTATCCTGCTAATACCTGGAGCACGCAGAAACTATGGGAGGTGATGACTGCTTGTGTGATCATGCACAATATGATAGTAGAAGACGAGCGCCCGGAACGTCTGTACGATCAAGGCTTTCAGTTTCAGGGTGAGAATGTTGTGCCTGAGCATGGAGTAGCGGCAACGTTTGAACAGTTCACCCAATTTCATGAAGACATGCGTGATTGGAAAACTCAAGTGCAGCTGCAAAATGATTTGGTTGAGCATATGTGGGCTCATGTTGGCAACCAATAGATGTATCTTATTTTATTCATTTGCAAAACTATGTGAAACATTTTTATCTGTATCCAGCTTGTAAAACTACACTATTATTCGGTAAACTATGTTATTTGACAATATGTTTGAATGCAAATCAATGTAATATTGGGCGGCCATCCGGCCACGCCGGCACATATGGGTCAGCGCGTTGGGCGCTGCCGACCCAAATCTAAAAGAGAGCGGACACCGGGCGGGCGGCCGACCCAAACAGACAAAAAAACGGACAAAATCGCCGTCCATTTTGGGTCGCCCCATTGGAGTTGCTCTAAGGCCAACTCCACCGCGCGACCCTATCCTGTCTGCCCCCGTCCGTTTGGGGTAAAAGGGACAAACGAGACGCCCCATCGCGCGGCCGCAAACGGACTTTTGTCCGCTTTGTGTCCGCTTTCGACCCATCCGCGGCCCAAGTTTGCGCCGCTTTAGGGTGAAATGGACACCACGCGGACGTGCGGGTCGTCTGCGCGTGTCCTCCCCTGGCCCGCCAGTCGGTGGCACAACACAGGCCTTTTTCTATCCGCCCCCCTCCCTCCCTCCGGCCGCACCCCCTCCACTCTTCCCCTCGTCGCCGCCGTGCAGTTCGGACGCGAGCTCGCCAACCCCTTCCCCTCGGCGCCGCCGAGCTACCCAACCACGGCTACCTGGTTTGCGCACCCGCCGGCCAGTTTTGGGGCGGATCCGGTTGGTCTTGAGCTCGGCCGGCTGTGGGAGGCCGGGCCGCGCCATGGACTGGCCGGGCACCTCGCCGGAAGGCCCTGGCAGGGCCGCAAGGCCATATGCAGGTAGCGGCTCCTCCTCTAGCCGCTCGGATCTGCACCGTCGGTGGTCCGCCGGCAGATACACGAATGGCGGTCGGCCGGGCACGGTGCTTGCCCAAAAGCTCGCCGGCGCACCGTTGCCACTCATTAAGTGCGACCACTGCCCAAGGATGGTCGTGCGCCGCGTGTCTACAACGCCGGAACGTCCCGGATGGGTGTTCATCAAGTGCTTAAACGATGGGGTATGCGCTTTTTTTAGCTTCGGTTTGTGCTCTAGATTTAACTGGTTGTGCTAACTTCAAATTTTGTTGTGTAGAATGGATGCAAGTTTTGGTATTGGGAAGAAGAGTACATCGATATATTGATAGAATAAAATTTAGTGCACTTTTAGCTAGCATAGAGGCTGTAAATGAGACAAGTGCACTTGTTGCTAGATTAGAGGCTAGACACGAGACTAGGTGTGAGGAGGAAGTAACATCGACTTCTGACTTGAAGAAGAAAGGAGGATGCCAGATCGAGCCTTCTCCTCCACAGATCAACAACGAGTGCATCGAGAAGGCCCTAACCCAACTCAAGGAAGCAGTTATGGAAGTTGGGTATCTTCTAAAATGTATTCTTGTGGTTCTTGTTTTCTTTAGTCTTGATTTACTAGTCAAAATGTGATGATGTATTTTTCATATATCAAAAAGAATGATGAAATAAAGTTAAGAACTTGCAAAGAAATAATACGCGGACAGGATGCGGCCGGGATGCGCCCGTGCGCTGGGCGCACGGCCACCGCATCCCAGGACACGCCCGGACACAACACCAAATCCCTTTCCAAACTGACAGAATCCGGACAAAACGGACGTCTGTTTGGGATTGCGCGGTGGAGTTGGCCTAACGTCCATCCGGTGCCTCGTCACTATCGCCATTGCCACACGGATTGCTGCACGCCGTTAAGATCCGGGGCACCACCAGCAACCCCGCCGGGATATATACGCTCTCCAAAGGGCTCCACGTCTTCGTTGAAGAACGCCGCTGCCACCCAAGCCGGCAGCCGGAGTGACCTAAGGCTAATACAACTCCCAAATTCTACTGCTCATGCACCTGATTTCTGCCAACTTCTGAGATTTATTTCACTTTCCGCTGTTACAATCATAAGATTCATACATGAAATTCATTCCAACTTCCCGTTTGACTTATTCAACTTCCGTGCCATGCATGCATACATGTTTGCGTACAGCGCAACAATGCAACATCAATGCATGCATGTGCTACTAGCTTTTACTTACTCAACAGCACCAGTGCTGGCCGGTAGCGTCTCGTTCTTTCCATGGAAGTTGATGTGGTTGTCGCCGCAGTCGACGAACTCGTAGTTGACGATGAGGTGGCCCCTCTGGTACCCCATGCCATCGGTATCGATCTTGACGAACACGGTGTCCCAGTCGAGGTCCAGCCCGCCGTTGGCGCACTGGTCCACGATCCTGGCCGTGATCTGCGCCCCCGTCCCCGTGTTGGTCACCCGGATGCACCTCCCGCACGACGCCTGGCCGCGGGGGCCGGCGGGGCCGCAGAAGGCCGTCCAGCCGTACTTGGACCGCCACGAGTACGGCTTGCCGGCGTCCCAGGTGGAGCAGTAGGCGCTCACGGCAGGGGCGCCCAGGTCCCAGCCGTTCTCGGCCGGGCGGTAGTAGTGGTAGGTCGCGCGGACGTTGCTCGCCTGCTGCGCCGCGGCGGCCGCGGCTCCGGCGCACAGGAGCGTCGCCACAAGCGCAAGGCGCGCGGCCATCTTGGTCAACGTAGCAGAGGAGGATGATCGTACCACAGAGGGAGGAGGAGCTAGCAGCCGCGGACACTTAATGGGAATCGCTCTTCGCCGCCACCATTATTATATAGAGGTGGAATGGTACGGTGATGGTAGACTTTTCTTCTCTTCACAGCTTCTACGAATTTTCCAAACTGGATCAATTGCATGAACAGCTCACATGGACGTGCATATGCTTTTAAGAGCTGTGGCTACGTGTCCTGCTGCCTAGCTGGAAAATTTAGCAAAATTGTCACAAGTGTGGATGGATTATGGATGCCTATGTAATCATGTCAGCGTGTCACTGTCAACAAATTTGTGCGGCTGCAATTGCCAGCACGTGTGCGAAAGCCAGGAGGAAGACATATCTTTGCGCATAATTGGAAGTTTTAGATAGGATAGCTCGATTTATTGTTATCAAATTGAGTCCTCACCAATTCATTGAGATACCGACAACACAACTGCCTAGAACAAGTCCAACAAAAATCCGTGAGAAGAAAACGGGCCCTCACATCTTGATAATTTCACTCAATATATATCACAACAATTAGATTACGATTGATTATATATATAGATGCTTTCGCTGTAATTTTTTATATACACACACTTCACATCAGAAAATCTGATGTGAAAATCCGCTGGGCACGCACGCATGCGGCCACCCATGTGCTTTAAGGTTGGTGCACTAGGTAGTTTATGTCATTAGCCCTTAATCGCTGCATTGGGGTCCATGCATGCTAGCTTTTGGC